GCGCGATCTTCCTTTCTCTTCCTTGACCTAACCCTACTTCCAACTTGCGTACTAGTTACATACATTACACTACCACATATGCCGGGACCGGTCAGGAGGCCATATTTTCCCCCCTAGGGCGGAGTTCCACTGATGGACCTGGTTGGGGAAAACCCCCCAAACCGACGGGTAAGTCAGCACCGGATCTCGCCATTCAGCGGGGAAAGATCACGGCCAACTACCGCGATACAAACATGCACTGCACTTACGGGACTAGTGACCTTAGCAGTTGCCGCGCCCGGAATAACTAATCAGTGTCCTTCCGCCACAGTGGCTTCGCACGCACCTCCCTGTTCTGGTCCTGCTCGCCCCAATCGCGCCCCCAGGCAACATTGCCGCACAGGTGCGTTGGGAATTGCATGTAAACAAATACTGTAAAAAATAATACATTTTAGGCTAAACATTTTAAATTCCAAATACTCTTTTTTTAAATTCTTGGCCGCTTAAAAATATTTACGCCAAATTTGGGAGCAATCCTTCGTAATTTTTGTGGCAAATAGAAACACGCGTACTCTCATTTTACGTAATCGATTTATTTATGAACACCGCATCAAAATCTCGAATGGTTAGAGGCAAAAATTCTCAAAATTAAAATTATTCTTAACCTGAAACTAAAATTTTGAATATAACAAATGGAAAATGGTTATGTCGTCGCTCGTTTTTTGAACAAATCACAAGTGCAATTTTACCCTTCTTTATCCATTAGTTTCGTTAATTATTACACGAAATAGTACTAATGAAATAACATTTTCCTTTATTTTTGAGTCAACATTTTGTAATAGAGAATTTTTTATTGTACTAGTTCAAATATTGTTAACTTTTCAACCGTAGTTGCCCGATTCCGCGAATTAATGAACTTCCTGCAAGAACTCGTGCCCTTTTTCCTGCAAGCTATCGGTAAGCCTCATTCACAAGATTTGGCCTGAAGTCGATATGGCTGCCTCTGAGATACTGCTCGATTCAGTATCCTAAGAACTTTCCTCATTTAAAATATATAATTTTCCTTAGGAACGGATTTAAAACTCAGTGGTTTTCGTACAAAAAGACTTTCAGGAATTAATTGCAGATATTGTTTGCGCAGTGGTAGGTTCATTGCACAGTATTTAAACTTCCTCTACAAGTCCTGTTTAATTTCTGAGGTTTTCATGCAGTTACAAAAAATGTAAATACGCCGGTAGGATAATACACATCATAAAGTTGTAATATCTCTCCTCGTGTATTACTTGTGGGAGATATAGACCGAATATGAGAATACCACTATAAGGAAAATTCTGAGTGTGTCGTAAACTTTTCCTTGAAAACATTTCTTTCATCAAGATAATTGCTATATTGACATTTCCTTCTATTTATCTATTATTAGAGCTCGTAAGTTATGAAAACGTCTTTTTATTCCTTTTTATTTTACATCCACAAAATTTAGTGTACTTATCGAGAAATCGGTAAATCGTTGGTGTCACGGCAGTACCAAGTAACCACAATGTTGACGAAATTCACGTAATCACCTACACATGCGCATGATTTACATCGGTTGACAACGATTCGCAAGTAGACGGAAATTATTTGAATTGATATTCTGTGTTTAGCAATAACACGCATCGGAAATCACTCTAGATGATGCGCAATATTCAGTTTAGAGCAAGTATTATAATACTAAGGGAAAAACACTTAAACTCTTATTGCCGGGATCTGGTAACGAAAAAAGGATAAATCGTATCTACACATAAAGTAAATTACTTACTCTAACACTTTGTGCAGTCAGAATTCATGTTTTGTGGGTCCTTGATACCGAAAAATTGATTGATGGCGAGACGTCTGACTCCATCCGTCTGTGGTCAACACTAGCGACTAAACCGTTCAGCCGATTTTCTCCAAAATTACTAATCCGGAATTAAAGAAGGCCTCAAGTTTGTTAAAATTCCAGATGTTTTGAAAATTACAAAAGTGCAATTTCTTCCCACAAGGATAATATCGTAGACAGAATTTTTTTCCCCTGAATAAAATCTGTTCCTTAAGGACAATAAGGGTATATTCAATTTTTCGAAAATATGAGTATTCGTGTAATTATACTAGGAATTACTAAGTTACCACGACTTTAAGTGGGAAGTATATGCTATTTAATGTAGCATATAGAAAATTGTATTGTCAAAAGCCATGTTTTGTGGGTTCTCCGTCTGTTCGTCCATTGGTTTGTCCAATGCTTGCACCTAAACCATTCAGCCGAGAGTGATTTTTGCCTACGTCAATATCTGTTCTAACATCAAATTTTAAAAGTCGGTACAAATTTTTGGAATAACAAGTGGTTTTGTGCTTGAAATTTATGCAATTAATTGTCTCTTTCAAAAACCTCTCAAAATTGTTTCTTAATATTTTTTTTCCACAGATAGAACACGCAACGCTGAAAAAAATGGCGTACGTCTCATTTTCGTTGAACTCTGAATTTTCGAAAATTGCTGATTGAGTATTAATGCAAGAAAAGTACGTGCTGTTGCAGCAACACGTTTGTTATCCCACAAGAAAGCAATTACTTCACTGTTTTTCTCAATATTGGAAACTATCTTGTCGCAATGAATTCAGTAAAACTTTTGCACAGTAGTTTTCGTACATGTATTTCTGTAATTACTGACTGTATCAAATGCCGGTGACGGGTTTTCTGAAAAAAACGGAAACTTAATTTAGAAGAGAGGGAACGTTTAAAACAAGCACGTCCAACCTCGCCCGCACGAGCTCCTTGCCCGCCTGGGAAGCCCAGCGCTCCTAGGAGCAGGGGAGCTTCCCCTGACTTCGCTCTCTTTCCCCTCCAAATCCACTATAGGGTACAGACGCAAGATGAAGCAACGCGAGACAGGGAATAGTGGTTTCATAAGAGAATATGTTTGGCAGATGTGTTCTATCTAACAACCGCGACTTGAATTATGTGTATATTCTTTACTATTTATTACTATTTCACGTTTATCTTCTTTTTAACTTTTGAATTGATTAAGTATTTTTGACAAGGGGAAGGAATATGTTTGAACCGCAAATTCTGACCTTGCTTGCGCTTTGTTTTGTATTTTTAAATCATTAATTTATCCTTAAATTTTGCAATAATGTGAAGTTAACAAGTTTATATAAATTATCAATGGTCGTTAACGGAAGGGTAGCGCTTTTAACGAGCAATCATCATTGTTAAATCTCGTGAAGAGAACGTAGAAACTTAATGCTATTGCATCTCTCTTAATTGAACACGACTACAAAAACAAAAAAACCCTTTCGATTCAGAATGTTTAATTTTAATCTCAATTGAGCATTTAATGTATTATTTCGTCTTAATGGATCATTTCATTGCTTTAAGGATAAAATGGGAAATAATATTGCATTTGGGCAATAACTGACTTCTCCAAAAGATTGTCGTTGATCAAGAATCCAGTAACCTACCGCCATTTCGGAGCATTTGTACAACCCTTACTTTTAAATCTCGCGCCAATTTCTCTGGACGCAGTGCTCGCGAGCTCTAGTAAGCTTGTAACCTTGACATGCTTAGCATAAAATGTCCCCTCCCAATGTGTAGTAATCATTGGTCTACCTTGCCGGATTTTTTAAAATATTGATTGATTAGTATTTCCGGGCGCGTCCAGTGGTAAGATCATTAGCTCCGTGATTAATCGCAGGATATAATGATATTATTTCGTTGAATAGCTAGATCCGGCACTTACCTACACGTCGGCTTGCGATATTTTCCTCAACCAGGTATCTCCCACCAGCGAGGTGCCGCCCCAGCAGAAGTACTCTTTGAGCTTCCAACTGGTCTCACTAGTGTGTTAGTGTATGGCTTGTACGTGTGTGTGTATGTGTGTGTGTATGTAAGGGGTGAATTTAAGGACAAGGAAGAAGAAGGAAAGATTGTGCGCAGTCCGTGGTCCGTTTGTTAGGGACTGCTCCGGCCTTCACCTGGTGTTGGTCAGAGAAACCACGCAAAACTACCGATCTAAGCAATCGCTCAATCTCCTCCAGACAATTCGTTTCAGCTATCTAGCTTCGAAAATCCTGTCACCGTCAGGACTCCAACCTCCTGGTCAGTTGTACTGCAGTGACAACAAATTAATGGATCAAAATCAACTGCTTATTCATGAATGTTTTAATTTTGTAAATTTGTTTTGTGGTTTACTTCACGCTGTGCACTACACCCGTGTCTTCACGAAATTCATTTACATCAAAGTCGTTTGCCATTCACAAGTGTACACTGACATGAGCTCTGGCTGATACAGATCCATGTTTCTACAGAAAGGCGTGGTATTATTGCTAGAGAGAGCTTCTAGTCAGATAGTTAACAACCTTTGCTTATCCTCGCTATTGTATGTTTTACAAAACGCAAACACAGTGCACGTGACTTCTGTGGGCTCTGAGGGGAGTGCTATTATACCTGCATAACCCACAGTTAAAGTTAAGTTCTCTAGCCTATCTCTAGTCACCAACTTATGTGACAATTGTTTTGCGTAGTTTCAAAGCAAATTCTATCACAATTCCATTTCGAGGGACGTATTATGTCTACAATTTGTACAATCACTAGCAGATCAATAGTCATTCATATCGGATTCGTGTATTTTGTATGTAAACTTCCGGCGACCTACCTAAGAAAGTATTATCACAATGAATCACTGACAGAGAGTAAATCAGTTGTTTGAGTGTTTTTTGCAATTGACATATATCACAGCATCATGACGTACGATCTCATTTGATAAAGACGACGTAATCCACACAATTAGCTTTCAAGAGTGTAAGGCTCAAAACAATATAGTTATCATAATGTTGTGCAAGCAATGAGTGATCAACAGTGAAATATCTGCAAATTAAGACAAAATGTATCCATGTCATTTTTTGGAAGTAACAGCAATAGACTGTTTCCCGACCGGAATTGTTTCTTCAATTATTCTAGTATAAATCCTATGCGGAAATAAAATTTTCCCACTACTGATTTGTTTCAGGGTGCCATGTGGCCTGCTTTGCACATGCTGGGCACCAGCTGGTATCCTCCACTGCAGAGAACCGGATATGTTTCCTGCTATTCAAGTAAGTGCTCAGTGATTTGTTTTTTGTAAAGTTTGAGGAATTATGCACATGTATTCTGATTAATTTTATGCAGGCATTATTTCTTAGTATTATTGTGTTCTTAAATTAATATAGTTAGGGAGTAAAATACGGAGATGGTGTCAACTATCGTGAATGAGAATATGGTTTTCCCTTTATAACAGTTATTTGTGATGCGAGTACTAAACGTGATCGTTGACTTTGCTAGTAAGAATCGTGGCTTATCGGTCTCGTGTAGTAATCCTTAAAGCAAAATAAAACCACTTTTACCGCGTGTGAGATACACTATTTTTTAATATAGCCTTAATGACTTTTAATATAATTTTATCCAAGTATATAAATCACTTACGGTCAGTAGTAGTAGAAGATGTTGCGGTCACACGCAAGTATTTCGTTTTCTTTGTTGCATTCTGAATAAGAATGCAACAAAGAAAAGAAAATATTATATATTAAATTTAACTGAATATTTACTTTTAGCACTTGGTACTAAAAATTGAACTTAAGAACCGCTTTAGTAGTGGCTTTCTAAAAACATTATTTCAACTTCTTCGTTGATTTGTTTCGATAACGACGCCCCATGAGCAAAATATTCATTGTCCAATTACCAGATGTACGTGATGTTGCTGTACTTTTCAGAATTCTACCTCGTATGCTATAAGAAACTGCACATCTCGAAGAGTTTGATCAATTCAATATTCTTTGAAATGGACAATCCTAACTCGTTCCTTAATTTTGAAATACATACATACTTATTTTTTGATAATTCATTCATAATATATTTTGATTATGAGGGGGTAAAACTGACCAACAAGTTATCTATAACCACGAGTATTTACAATATTCATAATCATCAAAATGGCTCACTATTATTTTTTTATTTTTAAAAATACTTTCGCGGATCCCCTGCCGTCCAGACATCTACAAGTTAATTTTAATTTGCAGAGGATCTCAATGGTTTCGCAGTATCTCATTCTAGGGATTCGAAACCATTTAGGGAAACTTTGAACATTGAAGGAAATTGGAACAACGATACTAGAAAAATATTATAATTATCTGGAAACTACAACATATTAGGAAAGAAGAACAAAAGCATCCATTTCTTTGTTAACGAAATCATTAACATATAAGATGTATCCTGAAAAAGAATAAGGACATTTTGTTAAAGGAAAAACGGGAAAAAAATCTTTCCATTTAAGAAAATCTGACAATGGTATGACCTTCCTAGCCAATACAATCGTTGGCCTCCATGCAATACGCTCCAAGCTGCGCTGGATTCTTAAAGAATTGTCCTCCTCCAGACCGAACCAAATACACTACTATCTATTAAATTAGAAATAGAAGCTAGTACATGTGAATTTATCATTTAAATAATTATTGAAAATAGTTTACTGATAAATATTGACTTGTTGCTCTAGGAAAACAATGTCTAATATTAAATTATTGTCTTGTATGATTTTTAATGTTCGTAAGTTGGTAATTCTAATATGTTTTGGGGACTTTGACTTCATATTTCTCTCATTCTGTTTGTTTTGAAAATAAGCAAGGCGAAATTGCAGTCATTTATCAGAAGGAATTAGGAGTCACTGTCCTTACAAGTGCCTACCAGAAGAAAAAGAACTTGAATACCGTTTTCTTGTGTTCTGTAGCATCTCGTCAAGGATACAAAATTTAATCTTGGCTCGGTTTCCTGTCGTTTTCTAAGATAAGCAGTGTTGTGATTGTCAATAGCGTGTCATAGATCGTGGGTTGAGTGTCACCACGTTTGTTTGCGATAGGTTTCACAGCAGTTTATGATGAATTACTCCTGAGAACGCTCGGTGATGTATGTTACATTTATTGGCAACTTACTCCCCTTAAAATTAATACATATTCAATAAATCAGAAAGGTATTTTAATCGCATAACTTCAGTAGAATGTCATATAAAAACATGAGTCCGCGAAAGCTTCCTGCACCAATTTAAATTTATTTTATATTAAAAATTACATCCATATGGACCATTTATTTCCGTAACTCGAAGAATGGAAATTTAACTATGATTTAGGGTAAGTATATTTTTAGGGTGCTTTACCAGGGTCTATCAAACGAACGTAGAGCCTTGACCGAACTGGGTAGAAAGGTTCGCTGAGTGACCGCCCGTTGTGTTCGGCTGCCGGGAGGCGCGGAGTGTTTGGACTTTCTAGAGACCGCGGGAGAGCGAAGCCCTTGTGCGCGGGGGGTGGCCCAAGCCGGGATTTCCAGGCTGCGCCTCAGGCGGAAGTGCCTTTTGCCCCGGGAAATGTTACGCGATTTCTCCAGGGACGGCTTCGCATGGTGCAGACTCCGGTGGTATTGCGTTGGATGACCCTGCGCCATTAGCGTATTTGTTAGATTGCTTTCACTGTTCAGCAAAAATACACTTTGGAATCCCACTATCGCAATTACGGTCGAGGTAAACGAATATGACAATAATTTTCTTTTGTTAACTCTAGTTTTTGAGATGCACTGATTTAAAGAAGAAATAATAAAATTATGCTTCTGAATTCCTTATTTTCTAAATGTATCCAAAGTATCCTCATTTCGGGTCGAAAATAATGAATGTGGCTTTAAATATTGTTTAGAACGTCTAGCTCTGCTTCACAATCCTCACATAAAAGGACTTTTGAACGTCGTCTCGATGCTTCTTGTTGCTTGTATTCCTTTTCTGTCTTCTCTTGTCATTGTCCAACAGTAGTCCGTCAGCATGGCAGGGTTCCATTTCCCCTTATTCCTTCGTTCTAATTGAAAATGTCCAGATGGAATCGTACTTAATGTTCGCCACTTACAGCACCACAGTTGTCGGGGAAGGAGTTCAGGTGAGAATGTAGAAAATGAAGTTTATCTTGTGAAGAGGAAGGATGAGGTGATTTCTCGCTTCCGCAGTCTTCGGGTACATCTGTCTGTTGAGTGTACTCTTCCGGAGGGAGTGGTAACGGCAGATCTTCTCCATCATGTGCTCGAATGGCTGAATGGAAGCTGTGGTATTCTACAGTGCATATTCTTTTTCTGGTCATGCCATGTAGCCATACAGAGTAATACAAATTACCCACAACCCATTACTGCTGTTCTAACATTTGCCCACGCGATCTCCAGGTGCTAAATTTCGTAATAATTTCACATGATTATATCTAAAAACCAAGAACTAACTGAAAGTTTTAATGTCATTTTCGTTGTTTTCAATATGAAATTAATCAGAAATGCTTATATTCAAGCTGGAAAACCAGGAGAGGTGGTTAAGGATGCATTAACTGAGCACTGCAGTGCCTCTGACCGGAGGGTCCTAGGTTCGAGTCCCGACAATGGCAACATTTTCGACATTATTTTGTCAGCTAGGTCGAATTCAATCGCTGTTTGGAGGAGAAATCTAGAATCCGGCTGCTCAAATCAGTTGTTTTCCGTCATTTCTCCTATCAACACCAGGCGAATGCCGGAGCAGTATCCTGACAAACGTTGTGCGCTATCTTTCCTTCCTCTTCTTTGGACCCTCCTCCGCCACGGACCGTGCGGTATCTTTCCTTCCTCTTCCTTGTCCTATCCTCATCCATTACATACACTTACGCTAACATGCACTACATTACTATACATGTCAAAAGAGAGGTAGGAAGCTTAGAGCTTATCCCGGCTGGGACGGTGGAGGGAGATACCTTGCCGAGGGAAACCCCGCTAGCCGACGGTAGGTGGCCGCCGGAATACGCCATCCAACGGGGGGAGATCACTGCCACCTACCGTGGTGGGAAACATGCGTTAAACTTACGGGACTAATGACAGTAGTTGTCGTGCCCGGAATCACTAGCATCAAAGTCGACGCGTCATAGCGTCCGACTGGTCTCCACTTTCATGCGATTCCTGAAATATATATTTCACGCAAGTTTTCACGTTTTATAATGGCAGGCAAAGGCACAATTTGGGCTTTGTGCACCGGGGCTCCCCGTGAAATCGTAGCTACGCCTCTGTATGTTTACAAAGGCGAAGGAACATTTTATAGTTTTCCGGCCATAATACATTTTCTTTTAACATTAAGCATATATTAGAAATTCGAATATTTTACTATTAGATAGTTGCTTCATATCATATGCGTTAATACGGCATAGATATTGTAACGGTCTCAGTTGTCCGATCCCCGTAGAGGTGTCATAGTTGCGCGGGGGCGAGCGGCAGGGTGGGAGGGGATGACTTACACCGCACCCCACAACGTCACGTGACATAATCGCAACCGTTCCAAGAACATCGGGGCGGCTTGTTCGCGCGCGGTAGGATCTGAGCGAAAACGCGGGAAACAGCTTAAGTGTTTCCCGCCAAGGCAAATAGAGTTACTAATACTACATTCACAGCGAGTGCCGCGAAATCATTACACGTGCGATTGCAAAGTGCGATAAAGAGAAGGAAGATAAATGTTGACATTCGCCTGTAATGAAAGCGAGTGAGATAGCCTCGGAATACACAGGAGGGGAGTAGGACTCCCCACCAGCAAAGCCATTGGGAAAGGAACTAAAGAGGTGTCCTCCCCCCCGCGCCGCTCCGTTTCTGGGAAGAGGCCTAACACCTCAGCGCCGGGGCCGGAGAACTCGGTCCCGGACAGTGTCACTTCAAATGTTTACATTAAGTTCTCCACCCACTTTGCCTGAGACCTACTCACCAGTATGTAATGTAACTTTGGTTTAGATTTAGATTTTTTTTAGATTTATTAATAATTCTGCAATTAAGTGTGAGAACTTGGTGGCAGAATACAACTGAACTTTAACATTACAGAACTTAACAAACTTATACAAACTTCTACAAACTTTACAAAATCACATGAACATTTCACCGTGCAATCTTTCATAGAACTTCAACCTTCACCACATTCACGCACGGCGATACAGCGAAGCTGTAATGTCCTTTTTTACCTCACAGTCGTTTCTCTCAGTTACACGTCACTGCACTCAAACGCCACTGCACATAATTAATATAATAATAATAATAATAA